AGGGGAAAGAGTGATGGCGTCGAGGAGAGGGAGAAGAGGAAGAAGAAGAAGAAGGAGAGAGGGAGAGAGAGAGAGAGAGAGAGAGAGGAAAAAAAAAAGACGAACGCGACGCACCGTGCTCAACAATACGAGGAGAAGAGCAACGCTCTTCTTCACAAAGAGCCGCTGTCACCGAGGCGGGTGGCTAGGTGGCTGCTGCCACGCCGTCATCCAATTCCCATCCCATTTCAACTGCTATACTCTCCCTCCTCCTTTCCCCCAGCCGATCTCCTACCACTTTCTCTCTCTCTCTCTCTCCCCCACTCCCCTGGCGCGACCGCCTGAACACTGCCACCTAACTCTATCGTGAGCCCGCTCAACGCAGCGTCGCGTCGCGCTGCCACCTACAGCAGCAACCACTCTGTAGCTTTCTCTCTCTCTTTCTCTCTCTCTCTTTCTCACACTCGCTCTTATTACGTTTCATCTGAAGAGAGTAGAGAGAAAGAGAGAGAGAGACAGAGAGAGAGAGAGACAGAGAGAGAGAAAGAGAGAGAGAGAGAGAGAGAGAGAGAGAGAGAGAGAGAGAGTGTACAGTGCTCAAGAGGGAAAGAAGTAGGGTTAACTTACAATGCGTGCGTGCGGTGAGTCGCGTGCCGTTCGCACCTCTGTCGGCTTCTACCACCCTCTTTCGTCCCGCTCGCCCCCGTACTCGCCCATCAACCCACCCCACCCATCTTCTCATCCACCCTCTACCTCCCACTCCCCTCCTTCTCCAGCCCTAGAGTCCTAGCCCTAACGACAAGCAACTCTACTACACCGATCCACCCATCTCGATAAAATCTCCTCCATTGCACCCCCAACCATTACCAACGTATCCCCTCCCCTCTTCCCAATCCCTAACCCACCGTCCATACGTGCTCTCATGTAGAACATGAAAAATAAAGAAAAAAAGGGAAAGAAATTTTTCACTACGGGCTCGATAATAATAATAAGAATAATGATAATAGCAAATGATACGTCGCGGTTTAACTTTGCGCATTTGATCGATGTATTTCATCTTTTGGATGTACTGTTTTTCCCTTGTTTATTTTTTTCTTTTTTTCTTTTTTTTTTTCTTTTTTTTTAATGAAACTAAAATTTTCTTCACTTAATTTGTTCGTTCATTTGTTTAACGAATTTATATTTAATTTCTATTCTGCGCGCGTTTTTTTACGTTTAATTGGTCGATCGTTTGTCTGTTTGTTTGTTTGTTGTTTATTTGGAATAGGAGTTTTTTCTTTTTCTTTGTGCGTATGTGTGTGTTGTGTTATCGACGAAATTATGTTTTTAGACGTATCTACATATATATATATATATATGTATATACGTCCGTGACCTTGACTAAGCGCCAGGGCCGTTTGTCGTGGGAGTCATTGTTAGAGTTCTCTGTCCATCATTGGTACAATTTTGTAGCGTATATATAACGTTATTATTATTATTATTACTATTATTACATATGCATATATACATATTTATTTATTTATTTATTTATTTATATATTTATTTATATGTATATATATATATACAAGAATAGAAATGTCGTTAACCTCTATTAGTAACCTTGAAAATTCTCTTCATTGTTGTATCAACGATGTACAATATTGTCCTTTGTTTTTCTACTACGACATATTATTTACGTATGCAATTTTGCCATCGTCGATCATAAACTTAGTAGAGTGAGTGAGTGAGAGAGAGAGATCGTATCAAATTCGAGAAAAAAAATTTTGTTGTAATCCGAAAAAAAAATATATTCGCATATAAAGCGTCTAAGTTTGAGTTTAGGAAATATCTATGCGACAAAAAAAAAGATAATTGATACATTTGATCCTCCGTTTAATCGAAGATTATTTAATTAATTGTAAGAATTTATAATTATATGGTGTTTTTAATTTTATATACATATATATATATATATATATATATATATATATATATATATATATATATATGTACGCGCACAGATACACACAAGTATGGAACGTCCTAATCGATCGAAATTTGTATCGTTAAGGCGAGTCGGCAATACGACGAAATATTTCGAGAAACGAATTCGCATCGATGATCCTCCTCGATTTAATAGAGGAGATATGAGTTATTATAAACAATAACAAAAAAAAAACAAAAAACAAACAAAAAAAACAAAAACAAAAAGAAAGAATTATCATCGATTATGGGAATATTTCATTAGCATAAATAAAAAATATATATATATATATCGTTTGATCTCGAAAAAATTTTTTAATGGACACGAGGAAGTTAACGATGAATATGTTTATCCTTGAAAAAATAGAGAAACAGAGAGAGAAAAAGAAAGACAGAAAGAGAGAGAGAGAGAAAGAATAAAAATACTTTGAACGGATTCGAAGCTATTATCTTAACGATGTGATCACTTTGTAAACACAAATATTTTCTTCCCTAACTCTCTGTCCGCTACCTTCCCCCACCATCCTCCTACCAACCAACAACCCATCTCGGCAACCAC